TCCAGGAACAATCCCCCAAGGGTATCCATATCATCAGGTACAGTTTTTAAGCAATGGAATCAACCAATAAAAACAAGTTAGAATAGGACCAGGGCCCTACCTTCCTGCTCCTACAGGGCAGCAAGCACATGTTCCACAAAAAGTACAACCCCATTGCTAGGGGGCTTCAGAAGTGTTTCAGTGATCATGGATGGGAACTGGTCCAAGCCGGTATTTTGCTGATACTTGGTTCTTTCAGAACCAGGCTTTTGGATACATTGTCTCAACACTGCCAGTACCATTTCAGGTGCCTTGAAGCTCCACAGAAGCTACCCCCAGGAGATCAGCCAGCTGGATCTGACTACCCATAGTAACCATCTTTGTTAAATGCCAGTTTGTACTGAAGAATGGCTGAGGCCAGCCAGAATATGGCTGGGGAACACCCTCTGGGCTCTCACTGACCAGAACAGGATACTGAGAAAGGCCTCCCTAGCCACCAAGACCCCTTCTGTATAGCTGAGAAACTTCCAAGGATGTGTTAAATAGGAACAATGTTTATCTGATTAATGTCAAGTCTGCCATCACCCAGATGGGTCAGTGACTAAGAGAGGAACTGTGGCCTCAAGTCCTGAGTGAATTTGTTCATACAGAAGTGACTAATTCCGGGGCCACCACCAACCCCAAACAACCATAAGGGCTCTGTGCAGCCATGCAAAATAGAATCGGTCACTAGAAGGCTCACAAATCAATCATTCAACCTGTTCCCTAAACCAGGGATCCTGCAACATGAAGCTTATCTGAAGCTGGAGTGGGGTCTGGGGTCTAGGGGGAGAGGGCTCACATCCAGGCAATTGCTCCATTAAGTATGTGCTGAATAACACACATGCATACACCTGACTCCTCAGGAGCTCACAACTAGTGGGGGCTCAGACAAGAACACAGATACATTACTAGAACTCTACCTAGAGCCCCTCTACAAGGTGCTTTGGGGACCATCAGGAAGCAATTTGAGACAGAAGACTATCCTCCAAATGGCTCTTTATTAAACACCCCACTTTGGCTAAGCAACATCCTCCTTCTGCTCCCTAATCTAGGCCCAGGTACCCCTTCAGGAGTACCCTCAGAAGATACCTCCCAAGACCAAGAATACTGAGAGACTGAGGGTCAGCAGGGAGAGGGAGGAAAGTTAAGACCTTGGGGAAAGGGAAAAGACCTAAACTGGACACCTAATGATTTTTCCCACTCAGTACTTATTTATCCCCTCTTCTGGAAATATCACCCCCACCACAACCACTAGGTACCAGTCCAGGTAGCTACATGCCAGGCCTAGCCACTCAGTGTAGTCCACCTTCTTAGCCACACTGATGACTTGAGGCTAGATACCTTCCTGGTCTAGACCAGAAAGAACCAAATCCAGGGATTTTGTCAGCAAAGTGGGGAGCTCTTTCCACCAATAACTGAAGGTGTGGGGTCACTCTGTGAAACCTGAGAATAAAGCCAACTCAAACGAAAGCAGAACTGAATGCCACAGAGAGACGGGTCTCTGATAACACTGTTTTGAGTCCTGATAAATCCCACTGAGCCCTGGCCTTTTCAGCTATATGAGCTGGTGAATTCCCCCTCTTCCCTAAGCCAACTGGAGAAAGTCTCAACCAGGGTCTTTCCCTCTGCCCACTCTTCTGGGAGTATTCTGGGGACAAAAAGACTTTTTTCTCTAGGGTTAAAAAAGTAATTGTCTGGTGACAGACTGTCCCTGGGCTGAGGGCCACCATGGAGACAGAGTCCAGCTGGCCTTTCCTAGGATACACACTCCTGACTCTCAACATACTTTCAAACAATATCAGCACATAATTACAGACTCGTTCACTGTTTTTAGTAGCTATTGTTTTGGTCTTCCCAGCACCTTGTTTTGGTAATGAACTCTGCTGTTCCCTGCCATGGGGGGATAAAGGAAAGGCCATGGTGCGGATTGGGTTAATCATATGGCTGAACATCCTTGGCCACAGTGACCGATACAAGAAGGCGTGGGAAGTTCACGACACTGAGAACCTTCTCTGGGATTTTCCAAATTAGAACTGGAAGGGAAAAAAAATTTTCATTCAGGGTTACCAAGCAGGTAGAATACAAGTCTGGAGCTGTGAGCTGTCACGTCCCCAAATGCATGGGGAAGGCCCACTTGCAGCAGCAGGAAAGGAAGCCAACACAGAGGCCTGATCAGGTTTGCTTGCTTCTCCCAAGGTCCATTCTCTCCTCCTTTTTACTACTGGAACCTCCTTCCTCAGAGACTTGGATGCCCAAATAGAGACTAAATTTACAGCCTCCGTTGTCGCTAAATGTGGCCACATCCCAAAACAGTAGGCACCTGAGTGCTTGATGACATTGTGGAGCCCAGCTACCTGACTTACCTGCCCTGGACCACCTGCCTATGTCTGTACTGTTAGGGGCGAGAGAAATAAATGTCTATCTCATCTGAGCCACTGTATTTTGGTGGTCTGTCTGCTACAGAAGCCCAGTCTTTACTACCGGGAAGGTGAAAAAGATATAAAAAGCAAAAAGCCCTGATGGAGTTTAAATCTTGGGACATAGTTCCTGTAATGATAGTAAGCTGTTACTTACAGAGCACTTTCTAAGTGCCAAGAACTGTCCTTAATGTTTACGTAGTATCTCATTTAATCCACACCAACTCTCTGAGGTGCTACTGTTATTCCTGTTATACAGTTTAGGATACCAGGGCACAGAGAGATTAAGTAATTTGCCCAAGGTTCACATTATATTGCTGCGCAAGATAGTCTTTTCCATGATGTGTTGTATAAGCCAATAAAATCTCTTTTTTGCCTAAACTGGTTCAAACTGGATTTCTGTCACTTGCAACAAAAAGTTCTAAACTAGATTCTTGTCTCATCTAGAAACCTGTTCCCATTTAACTGGTCAGACCACAACTGTAGCTGCAAGACAACAGGGCACATCGGGAGGAGACGTCTTCTCAGAGGGGACACTAGGCTTCCTGCCTACGGCAGACATTGTTGGATAGTTCAACCAATACCCACACCCAACCCCGTTTATCCTTGCCTGGCTGAGAAAACAAAATATTCACTTTCTTAGCTTCCTGTTCAGCAAGGGCTGGCCAGATGACACAATTTTGGACAATAAAAGGTATCATAACATGGAAAAATTCCAGCTTAGTGGTTAAAAGTATGGGCTCTAGAGCCATAATGCCTGGATTCACTGTCACTTTAAGCTGCATAAATTTGGCAATTTACTTAATCACTGTTCCTTGGGGATAATAACTATATCTACTTCATAGTTATTGATAAGAATTAAAGGAATTGATAAATACATACAACTCAGAAGAGTACCTGGTGCAGGATAAACACTCTATAAGTATTTGCAATTGCTATTTTTTATCACCCATACATGCCAATATGGAACAATCTTTAAGATATATTGAGCAAAAGAAACAAGGCATAGAAGAGCACATAGAGAGTGCTCCCATTGTATGAATACAAAGAGGCTGGAGTACACATCTATATCTGCTCATGCATGCACAGACTATTTCCTAGAGGACAGAAGAAAAACTCTTCAGAGAGGTACGCTCTGGGAAGTAGAATGTGGGACTGGGATTCTGGATTGGGAAGATCAAACTTCATTATATCTCCCTTTCTTACTAACTGGATTGGCTTTTTGTACTCATATGCTTGAATTACTTAAAGATTTTTAAATTATGTTTGCTTTGAAAGGCTCAAAAAAATAAACCCACTTTTTCTTAACTTCAGTTGTTCATCAACAAAATGGAGAGTCAGCTGCACAAAGTGACAAGCTAACACAGGCTGGATGGTAATGTTAGATATACTCTGGAAGGTTTCCAAGAGGTTAGCCTAGAGAGCATCTAAACTCTGCCAATTCCAAGATTCACCTTTTTGGTGGCACAAAAGAGCAAAGGACATGGGGGAGATGCCAGGATATGACCAAAAAAAAAAAAAAAAAAATTACAACCATTATAGACTGCTGGTATAAGACAGAACACACAGCACATGTGCTCCAAGGGCAAGCTTGTCTCATCTTTTCAGGGTACAGCTGAAGAGCAAAGGCTGCGGGTCCAGATAGGCATGGTGTGACTCCTGGATCAGTCATTTCTTCACTCTATAGGTTGGACCAAGTTATCTAATGTCTTAGAGTTTTTTCTCATCTGTGAAGTGGAAATAACACCCACCTGACTGAATTGGTATAGGAAATAAGCAGGATAGTGAAGGTAAAGCCCATGGCACTGCACTAGGCATGTAACAAAAGTGCCTGAGGAATGGCAGCAGTTGTCACTGGAGGTGGAGAGTGATCACCTTCAAATGACTTGTTCCATTTGTCAATCTTTTAATGTAAAAACATAAAAAAGTGACAAACCAGAAATGAATTTTAAACTGAACTAGTGGAAATGATCACATATAGCTGTTTTTGCAAATTCCACAACTGGATATTAAGTCAAGATAGCTCCTGCTAGATTCTAGCCTTCAAAGCTAAACTGTTCTGCCCTATTCACTTACAGCAGATCAGATCATTAAGCAAGGCCAAGCTTCCCAGCCCCTCACTTCTTAACCTTCCTTTGAAACCACAGGTCAGAGCAGAACCAGGAAGGGTTATGCTATTAGCCAGAGGAGATGGTAAGAATGGCTTTGGCAATGTCATTTACTCCTTGGGGGTCTGTGCCCACAAGATGATTTTAAAAGCTCTTCATGAATATATGTGATTGCGCTCAAAGTACAGACATTTTGGTCTGAACTGTGGGGTCTATGGCAAATACAGGATGGGTTGAATGGTTCTAAGCCAGGGAGCAAGGGTTTACAAATGCTGTGTTTTCCATGAAATCCACAGGGGAGACTCAAATCTGAAACCTTGCAAAAGTAAAATCTGGGGTGTTGAGGTTCCCCTTTTTAGTGAACGCCAAAGGCCCTAGACCAGAATGCTAGAAAGTCTTTTATTAACTACCCTGGGATGACTAAGGTCATTTTGGGAAGAAGAGAAACACTAACCAGCCCTCTCTTCAAGTTTTAATAGCCAATAGGAATCTGGGCTCTGAAAAGTCACAAGCACTTTTTCCCCCAGGATCATGAGCAATTGTAACTGGCCAAATGTGTTAGCAGCAGGAAAGCTGAACGTCCTCTGTGTGAATGGGGCTTAGTGTGCGTAGTGTATGGCCATGAGCAGCATAGCAGCTACACGACCTCCAGGCTGGGAGAGCAGAGTGCTACTGCTGTTCTATAGGCCTGTTTCAGGGCAGGATCAAGTCATCCACAGGACCAAGGGGTTGCAGTGTTGGGAACAGATGACTCTGTGTTCCACAGATAATGGTATGAAGTGACTGTTAATAGATAAGGTGTAAGCACAGCAGTTGAAGACAACGCCTCCAGCTGTTCTGTTATTAAATTCTTAAGAGCCTTGAAGGATTGAGAAATTCTACAGAATGTTTTTAAAAGAAGGAGGGTGGAAGGTGTCAAAGACACAAGAGTTCTTTGTAGATGCTGACTGGCTCATTTTGTCCCCAGATTCATCTTAGAGCTCAAGCAAATCCAAGACATGAGACAGAGACACTAGACTTGTGTCAGGGGCAAAAACTTCTGGTAGTAGCTCTTGGTGACGTCAATCATCAGCTCCTGAGTACACTCCGGGAGCTCCCCTGAGAAGAGTCCTGGGGAAAGAAAGACCTGGTTCTAAGGAGCTTGAATAAGTTAAAAGACATTAAGGTATTTCTCTGGCAATATCCTTCTTACCTTAGATCAGATGCATGTCTGACAATCACTTAAAACAACTGCTGGGGCTGTTCTGGCCCAGCACTTGCTAATTACAGCTAAACTTTCACAGTGGGAAATTACTAAAGAAAATTTCTTCCCTCTCCTCTACAAAAGCAGAGATGTGTGACATAGCAGAATGGCCAACTGCCTCCCCAAAGAATACAAGTGATGATTCTGTACACCTTTGAAACTCATGTTCAATGATCTGAGTGTTGAAAAATGGTAGAAAAACAATTAAACACCAGTGGAAGGTATCGTATACTATCAAATCTCTCCTTTTGTATCACCTTCCATCTGTGAATTTGTGATGTGCCCCTGTACATGCTACATGATTTCAACCATGTAAAACAATATGTAGAAGAAGATACTGTCTTGGGGTGGAGGTGAGGAAATGTGAAGTTTTCTTCTTCCTTCTGCTTGTCAGAGTTTTTTCCAAGTTTTCTGACATGAGCATGTATCATTTTTGTTTCCTCACATGTTTTGTAATTTGGAACTCTGGGCTTTGGAACTCTGAAGGGCTTTACCTGTGGGCATTCTATCAGCCAAGGTTAAGAGGTAATATATTTGCTCCTCTCAGGTGTCCCAGAGGTATTATTGGTCTTAGACCATGGTTTATGCCAGCTTTTCAGTTTGGGGATTCCTGGGCCGTGTGGGAAGTATAAATTAAACCCCTAACCAACATGAGGGTAAGCCTATAGTTAAAATTCTCAAGACAGACTTTTCCTTTTTCCACCCAGAGCCCAGGCCAAGAGAGAAATGCTTCTTTGTATTGTACCTGTGCGGTGGCAGATGTGTTCTACATCAACCTTTTCTTGAGAGAGAACTCTTCAAGAGTATCTGAGGATTTCTCTGCCATGTGTGGATCCAAGGCTTTGTTTCCCATGCCCACATGAGTATCACACCCTAAACCACTCTCTTATTAAGACAGCATTGACCCATGCAATCTTACAGCTTGGATTTAGCTTCCTCTTTGATTTTGACCCTTGATAATTTCCTTATTTTCTTGTGAACTCAATTATGCATTTAAAAAGATGCTCAATGTATTTTAGATAGTATTTCTAGGTACTTTGTAATAGATGAATTTTTAGGTTAGCTCTCTCAACATATTGTCAGAGATAGAAATTGCATGCATTACTTTTGTGATGGAAAATGAAAATGAGTTTTAAGTTAAAATAAAAATAATCAAAATCCAAAGTTACCTGGGCAGCCTGAGAAGACAGTGAATGGTGGGACCACAGTTTCTGGAGGTAATACTGTGTTGTCAAGAATTTTGCAGCAGTCTTTTAACACACACCGGCGCCCCTGAAATTAAAGTCTTGTCAATAGGAAATAGATCAGGAAATGGGTGTAAAACTTGTCTAGTCTGCTGTGTGGAAGGCTATTTTATATTTTCCCCCTTCATGATATTGTATAATAGCCAGGGACAGTGATAACAGGCTTGGTTGCAATTCCCTGCTTTAGCGGTACCTGATGTGGAGGAAAAGGCAGGGTTGTGAGAGTGTGTTTTTGTGTACATTTTGGGGGAAGAGTTGTATGCTGGGGACAGTACAAGTTATCTTAGGCATTATAGACTATGTGAATTTCAGTCTTCCAAGAGCTCTGTTTAATTTTCTCCCAGAGGAAAGCAGCAAAGGGATGGGGACTAACTCTCATGATGTCGATTGAACCCCTGGAGCCAGTTAGCCACAACATTAGGATCTATTTCTGTACTCTTGGTTTATCTTAGCCAACCCATTCTGCCTTGCACCTACCAGTTTAAGGTTTGTTTGCTTTTCTGTGAATTCCAACTGGAAAAGTCCTCACGAATTCATTTGGATATGAAGTTATTAGTTCATTTGTTCTCCCACAGTGATAGTTATTTGAATGTTTGGCCCACTTGCATCCTGAACTATTTGCAGTTACTCTAACATCAAGCCCTTTGGAGACTCTGACCCTTACACATGTCAATCCCTTTGCTGAAATGCCCATCCTCCCCTGTTTAGGGGCCACTTTCAACTTGCCCTTCAGATCCCCTCACCCCCATTAGACTGTAAGTTCCATGAAGGCGAGAAGCAGGCCATTATAGCAGCATAATTAATCATTTCGCCTGGGTTTAAATCCCAGCTCTACCACTTACTAGCCTTGTCAAATCCCTTAATATCTAAGGTCCTCAGTCTTCTCATTTGCAAATAGGGATAATGACAGTACCTAAAACCCTTGAATGGTTGCAAGGATTAAATGAAATAATCAAAGGAAAGGGTTTAACATCATATGGAAGAAGTTCCATAAAGATTAGCCACTATTATTATATTAATGTCTAGCAAAATCACCAAATCTGGAAAGAAAGACTCAACCTTGGGAAGTTTGGAAAGTACTCCTACCCTGCTTGGTCACAGAAGCAGAAACCCACTGATATAAGGGATGGGAGCTGGAGGGGAAGTGAGGCTGCTTAGCCAGTCAAGGGATCATACTCACAATCACACAGTTCTTGCCAACATGAACGTAGGAACCAATCTGAGCTGCGTTGACCACACAATCTTCCTCAATAAAGACATGGTCCCCAATATGTAATGGAAAGAATGCAACGCTGGAGAGAGAAAAGAAGATGAACGAAGAAAGGTCAAGGTGATATAGTTTAGGTCACGGTTTATAGAACTGCATATCATAATCTCAACTTCATCATCTTGTCTTAATAAGACTGTTCCTAGCAAGGAAAGAATCCGCAGGCTAGAAAAATTCTATAATGTTTAATAATATAAATGCAATTACTATATCAAAATCAGAAATAGCAGAACAAACAAATATGCAACCAGAAAGCAAAGAAGGGGCAACATCTTCAAAGTTAAAAGAGCAGGCACCAAATAAAAATTAATGAATGTTTGCTCATTCTTACTTCCTTTGAAAATGCTCACAGATCACATTTTTAGTAATCTACCCTATAATGTTTCAGGGGATTGACTTCAGGTTCATGGACTATAATTTCCAGAACTCAACATTCTGAAACTTTATTCATTCACTGATTTTACTAAGTGCCTACAATGTGCCAGACTCTATGCTAGGAATTAGGGATACAATGGTGAGCAAAAGAGCCACAATTATGCCCATGGGGACCTTACAATTAAGAGAATAAATGAGATTAAATTATTATATAAGTAGTTACAACTGTGACAGGGCCACAGAGATACAATATCAAGTTATGAGAGCATAACAAAGAGACTTTACTCAGCCCATAGGTTTGGGAAAAGCTTAATTGAAAGTGACATTTAAGCAAAGAATTAAAGGATGAGTAGGAGCTAGCAGACTTTCTCCAGACTTCTGACATCATTCCCATTCTCCAGGATTTGTCAAATGTCACAGACAATGGTTCTGTGATCACATTTATAGTAATTTCAGTACCCTGGGATGTAAAATATTTGGACTGAACTGATATAAAGTAGCTAGATGCTCACTAGCTCTTTCTAGCTCTGTTCTGTCAGGAATATTTTCCCAGAGATGATACCTGCCCTCTACGAACCTATAATTTATTTAAATCTTCCTTAATCGTTAGTATTTTTAGTCTATACTTCTTGTGCAACAATGCATTCCTTGACCTCATCACAGTCTAGAGCAGTACTGACAGTTCTTTAATTTTAAATTAAACACTACCACCAGTAGCAGCATCTTGCCCAAGACTTGAACAAGGTAATTAAATCACATACCCTTTACTGAATTTCTTGAATGGTGGCCTTATGACACTACGACTCTTCACAACACAATGGCGTCCAACTCTTACATTTGCCAGATCCCCTCGGATAATACAGTCATTCATCACAATGGTCTACAAAACAAAGCACATTTTAAAAAATTTTTTAAAAATTACCAACACAGCCTAACACATAACAATAAAAAAGAGAAGATAATAAGACACTGATTGAAAGTTATACTATATAATCCACTGTATCAAATGTTCTGTCAAAAAGGATAAATTTTAGGTAAAAAGAGAATTGCCCTCACGACAATGATTGCAGTTAGAGATGATCTCATAGAAGTAAAAAGTAGAACAGATGATACTAGAGGCTGGGAAGGGTAGAGGGAAGAGGGAATAGAGAGAGAATTGTTAAAGGGTACAAAATTACAGCTAGATAGGAGGAATAAGTTCTAGTGTTCTACAGCAGTGTAGGATGACTATAGCTAACAATAATATATTATATTGTTTCAAATAGCTAGAAGAATATTGAATGTTCCCAAAACAAAGAAATAATAAATGTTTGAGTCCATGGATATATTAAGTACCCTGATCTGATCATTATACATTGTATATATATTGAAACATTACTATGTACTCTATAAATATGTACAATTATCATCGGTCAATTAAAAAATAAATAAAAAATATATAAATAAATGAAAGCTGAGAACTATGGTACTTACTGATATAAACGTAACCTATTGTCACTATTATAACAGAATGTAAAAAAAAGGTAAGTTGTGGAAAACCAAATAAAGTTAATATACGTTATTTAGGGATACTTACATATACGGTTATTTTTTTTTTAAATAATAAAGAATTTATAAGACACAAAATTCAGGATAGTGGTTTCCTCTTGGAGAGAGACAGAAGAAAGAGATAGGGGAGAAACATAAAGATAGTACTTATTATGGCACATGGATTATGCCCCAGTTCTTTAGTTGGGTATTTTGTTCATTAGTGTTGACTTAATTTTTATGCTTTATAACATATATGCCACACATACTCTTTTGCATACACCAAATATTGCCAAATAAAAGGTCTTTTTAAGAAGAAAAAGAGGGCCCTGAATAGCCAAAACAATCTTTAAAAGAACGAAGTTGGAGGACTCATACTTCTTGATTAAAAATGTATTATAAAGCTACAGTAATCAAAACAGTGCAGTGCTGCATAAGGACAGACATATAGACCAACCAAATAAAATTGAGAGGCCAGAAATAAACCCATACATCTATGACAAATTGATTTTTTACAAGAGTGCCAAGACCATTCAACCAGGAAAGAATAGTCTCTTCAACAAATGGTGCTGGGACAACTGTATTTCTACATCCAAAAAGAATTAAGTTAGACCCCTACCTTATACCATATACAAAAATTAACGCATAGTGTATCAACAACCTAAATATAAGCACTAAGACCATAACACTCTTAGAAGAAAACACGTCAGTGAATCTTCATGACCTTAGGTTTGGCAATGGATTCTTAAATATGACACCAAAAACATGAGCAACAAAATATAGATGAATTGGACTTTATCAAAATTAAAAACTTTTGTGCATCAAAGGACATTATCAAGAAAGTAAAAAGATAAGTCTACAGAATGGGGGAAAATATTTGCAAATCATATATCTGATAAAGGTTTAATATCCAGAATATATAAAGAACTCCTACAATTCAACATTAAAAAGACAATTTTAAAATGAGCAAAGGACCAAATAGATATTTGTCTAAAGAAGATACATAAATGGCCAATAAGCACATGAAAAGACATTCAATGTCATTAGTCATTATGGAAATGCAAATCAAAACCACAATGAGACACCATTTCACACCCACTATGACGGCTATCATCCAAAAAACAGAAAATAACTAGTGATGGTAAGGATGTGGAGAAATTGAACCCTGCACAATGGTGGTGAGAATGTTCAATGGTGCAGTCATTGTGGAAAAAAGTTTGGCAGTTTCTCAAAAAGTTAAACACGCCTGTAATCCTAGCACTCTGGGAGGCCGAGGCGGG